ACTCTCAGTAGTTTGCCAGGCTCTTCGAGAGGAATCAAACTTGGATCGGCCGCCTGCAAGGCAAACGCCCTACCCACTATGCTATTGCTCCAGCCCAATTATTGTGAACTACCTTATAAAAATTAAATTAAATTAAAAAAAGTCTTCCTGCACATTTACTTCAAGCTCTGGCCTTCCTTGCCCTTCTTATTAGGACATATTTATAGACCAATGTCCAGGAATGGATTTGACAAAGACAGGACTTATACAAGAAAGGAAAGAGATAGTAGTAAAGGCAGCCTCTGAGCAAACATACTTGACCACGTAATTTCCTTTTGTTGCTAATTAATTTGCATTGCACAAGGTATAAAATAACTAGACATAATTATAATTAGAGTCCACTTAAAATATACATTTACTTGTACTTAACATGTTCCTGGAACTTTGATAAAAATGGATTAAGATTTAATTAAGTTAGAATTCTGAACGTGCTATGGAATATTCCAAAATAAAGCTGTTATGCTATTTATTTAATAATAAATGTCTTTTTATATAGAACTTCAATCATTAAAAAGGTGATACAGTAAAATAATACCATGAGAGTAATTGAAAAATGTGGGCTCAAATTTCTTTCTGATTCAGAAAGACTGTTCAAAAGGCTAAAGGTTTTGCAGGCAGGGGGCAAGGACTGGATCCCTGGCATGAAGTGGTTCCCCTGACTTTGGAGAGAATCCAAAGTACAGAGCTGGGAGCATCTCCTGACCACTACTGTGTGTAACTCTGAAAATAATCAAAAACGCCCTAACACTTTTAACATGTTAAAATGAAGATAATCTTTCCTTTATACAAATGATAGGAGGTATACATTAATGTACATATAAGAAACTAGCATAACTATTAGAAATTATGATAAAACAATTTATATTAGTATGATTAATTTTCTATTTTTGCCAATTTTGAATAACATTGAAAACTCCCTTTTGAACTGGATGATTTTATGCATTTTAATAATAATGCTTTAATTGAATACTCATAGTACTAAATATGTATATGTTTATTTTTTACTAATATGAATAGGGAATAAATACCTTGAAATAGCTCCTTGTCACAATGGTGAAATTTGTAAAACTGCTATTAATTTTGAAAGGAATTAAATGGAATATATTGTCAAATTGTTACATAGATAAAATCTGCAATTTTTTTCTATACTATGACATGGTAGTTCATGATAAGCTACTACTTGGACAATTTTATTGAATCTTCTGATTTCTTCCTTTACCAGGAAAAGAACTATCCTGCCTTATGTATTTCATTATAAAATATATTATTTAATCCATTAGCAACATATTTCCTGGGGCCAGAAAGAGTAAAGTGGGCAGGTCTCTGTCCCATGAAGTTCCCAGGGTCCCACGAGGGACCGATTTTACCCATTTAGTCCAAAATGAATTTTTTTCAATGAAATAGATTTTGTTTGTCATTCACAGACATACATAAGAAAAGACATATTCTAGAATGTGGATTCAAAAGGAGTATATCTTTAATAATAAAAGAAAAATAATTTAAACCAAACTAAAAAATAACTCCTGTACAATACATTGGTTAATAGCAATATAATGTTATATCTTTTTTCGTAATTTAACATAATAGCACAGAATCCTAATATTTTAGTAATTACAAGTGTAATACATACACAATCTAGGAGATTTTCTGGTATAGCATAAGACTGAATATTTGGAAGATCATGATATAAGAGAAAAACAATTATTAACTTGAAAGAACTGGAGACATCACTGCTTATCAGGTAATATACTGATTCAATATTATCAGACTTGGGAATATATTTTTAAATTTTATGTGAGTGCCATACATTTTACACAATGTTATCTATTCCTAAGTAATATAACTTATTTTAGGTAAAGAAAAAAATAAAGGAGAGATTTAGAAGTGAATAAAATTGAACATTCACTCTAACATTATAATGTTATAACTGTAAAAACCCTTAGTATTTCTAGTCTTCTAATATACTATTCTCTTCCTTGTTCCTTATTCTCTGCACATTCCACAAAACCTCAACTAGGTATTTTATCGATAATTTCTCGTCCAAGAGCAGAGCAGTATTAATTCATCTAGTGTTATTAATTTATGTTCTTTCTATCATCAATTTGTTCCAAGCTTCATATCCATCAGCAAGATGATTTTTATCTCCATAGACAATCAATTCAATAAAGACTGGCTACAAATTGCAAATGTGCACACAAGGGCAAATTTACTTTTAACAAATATATATTCAAATGCTAAAAAGCAAAACAAATTGCTCCTGGCAAATTCAGACTCCCTTAAGGCAAGGACAGCATAAAAATGGCAAGGAGCGGCACTAAGTCATTTATGACTAGAACTCACAAACTGGCTTGTACTGAAATGAACCAAGTAACAAATTAGAAATACGGAGGGTAATACTGCCCTCACCATTTTTATTCCTTCTAACTTCAGGCAACACAGAGAGAGAAATGACTAAATCTCTGTTTTAATAGCTGCTGTCAAGAGTTTTGCTCTGTAGGGCTATTTCAGCAGTTCCTGGTGGTAATATATGGCATTTCCCTGATTAACAGCCATTTTATAACTGGTGTAATTGGCCACAAATCAGGAGAATGTCATAATGTAGCAAGAAAACATTCCCATCTCCGTCAGAGCCTTGGCTTGGATTTCTGGAGGAATTATTATTTGAGTAGTTTGTGGATTTTCATTACTTTAAATAATGTACTACCTGAAGTACAGAAAAGACATTTAAACTAATGAGCACTTCTGTCTCCTAACACTTTCTACCATGACTTTTCTTAGATTTATTTTTCTTGAAAAAAAATCCCTAACATGGAATTTTTCTTAATTTTTATAATACCAGTGCTTGTGGAGACATAAAGGCAAGTGCAGGGTTGGGTGCAAGATGAATAACATTTACCTTACGCTTATTTATTTTTGACAGTGAGGAATTAAACCCAGAGCCTCCACCATGGAAAATGTTCTGCCCCTGAGCCACATTCTCACCCTGCTCAATAGGAAACAAAACAAAACTTCCCTCAGTATTTCTGATAAGATCAAAACATCTCAAGGCTGTATTTTAGAAAATAATAATATTGCACTGTAGCATTGTTGTCCCATTGTTCATCAATTTGCTCTAGCGGGCAACAGTAATGTCTCCACTGTGAGGCTTGTTGTTAATGTTTTTGACATATCGAATATGCCACAAGTAGTTTGTCAGGCTTTGCTGTGGGGGCGGGATACTCTTGGTAGCTTGCCGGGCTCTTCGAGAGGGGTGGAAGAATGGAACCCAGGTTGGCTGCATGCAAGGCAAATGCCCTACCCGCTCTGCTATCGCTCCAACCCAGAAAATAATAATAAAATAAAAAACCAATGATTAACTAAGATATATATTATATATATATATTATACCAATGACTAACTATTTTACATATATATATATATATATTATCTGGCCCTATACTTACATGTCTTACCTCATTTGCTTCAGCTCATCACAGGTCTGGGCAAGGATATTGGAGGGTAAGCGGTGAGCACAATGTCATAAGATCAGCTAAGTCTTTTCAATAGGAAAACTGATTAAGGGGTTTTTTTAATAGTCATCCTATAGGTATAATAAGACCAATATCCTTCCCAGAATTATGCATATCGGAGGGGTCTTATTTTATCTGTAATAAAAATCTCAAAGCATTTTACTATCAGAGTGGCATCTGTAATGTGGGGATGACTTATAAAACATATCACTCCCTCTTGGAGGCTAAATGATCATTAGTTTAAAGAATGACAAAGATTATGAAAGTGCTTTGTAAGGTCAGTAGTAGCATTTCTCACTCCTTTATTTTAAAGAAAAAAATTTTGTTATTTTATTTTATTTTAAAAAAATAATTCTGGGGCTGGAGAGAGAATGCAGCATTATGCCTTATATGCATCTGACCAGTCTTTGATCCTCAATATCACATAAGATCCACTGAGTACCACCAGGAGTAAACTCTGTGTATAGACAGGGGTAGCCCCCAAACAAACAAACAAACAAACAAAAAAAACAAGCAGAAGCCCTCAAAAGAAAAAGTTTTGCTAGTTTGACGTAGTACTGCAATATAATTGGCCATGTCATAGGATGTTCAAAAGAATATCCTATGCATCTCCCCAAGAAGGTAGATGTGGTAGCTTGTCAAATCTATGGAAAAGGAAATGCAAATTAGAGTGTTAGCTTCTTCTGAGCTAAATTTTTAAGCTTTGCCAAAAGGCAGAATAATAAGGAAACATGATGAAGCATTACAATGAGAAGAAATAACACCATGGAGCACTGAGACTTGAAATGGTAGCAGATTTTGGAGAGGCCATGAATTTTTTAGTAAGTTTCAGGAGATGGAAGCAAGCCAGCAAAGGTAAAAAGTAAAACCAGGGATAAAAACAGCATACAATTCAAATAAGAACCAAGAGACATTTCAATGAAATAATAAATATAAAAGCTTATCTAGAGAGCAACTCTACTGAATAATACATTTTTTTAAAAAGAAACCTGAACCCCACTATATGCCAGGGTATTTTGTGCACTTTGGTTTCTGAATTAGAAATAAAATACATGAAAAAAAAGTCTTTTTAAAGTGTGAAAACTTTTTAAGAAGTGTGACTCAGTAACAAAATCGACAGTTTTACAAGGACATTTGTCATATATCTGCTTAAACCATGCCTATGTGATGTTTCTTCTCAAGCCAACATAAAGTAGGGTGCAGTGTTCTTACAAACTTATCACAGTTTAATTCCAATGTTACTCTATACATAGGTAAAGTGCTGCTATGGAAGTTAGATTCAAATTTTAATGAAGTGTTACAAAATGAGATCTGAAGACAAGATATCTTGTTAAAGCTATTTACGTTAAAGCCATATAATGAAAATCATCACGATTCCTACTGAAATAGTTTAACAGAAGACTATCTAGCCCATCAAACAGAAAATAATTAACAAAAAAACAAGATACTGACCTTTCACATCATTTGCTAACTTTCTGGCTTCATTAAGAATCCCAAAACTTTTCTGGAGAGAGGTTTTGGCATCTTCCTTTAATAAACCCTGAGGACCTGTTGCCTAGGGGCAGATAAAAAAAGATATTACAGACTTAAAATCACAGAGTAATGGAGTTGAGATGTGTAGATGGCAGTATACAGACAGCATTTGGTTTCAAAAAAGTTCTTAAACTATAGATTTGAATGATAAGTTATCAACAAACATGATAAGTTATCAAAAAAACAAAATGGAGATCACTGGAAAAGAGAATCAGAACTGGAGCAGAGCCCTTAGGAGTTCCAACCTTCAAGTGACAGGTAGACAAATGAGGCAAGCACAGTGACCAAAATTCCAGAGAGGACAAAGAAAAACCATAGTGTGAAATTGTAGAAATCAAGAGATATGAAAGTGAGTTAAAGTATAAGTGGATGCTCTCAGTGTTTCCAGGATATAAAACTGGCCAGTTTTATCCATGATGAAGAATGATCAACACATTTAGAATGATCAATCAAATTAAGAAGCACATACTTTACACTTCAGTTTGAGGAAAAAAGGAGACCATTTTTTGCCTCCCAGATTTTCAAATAAGAATATTCTTTTACCATGTATGCCAGTCAACCATGACAAAGCAAAAATCTTCTAAGTGGCAATCTATGCTACAATTACTTCCTAGCAAAAATAAATTTGTGGAGTCTTAGATTAAAAGAAGTGACAGTAATAGAATCATATGAGGGGAAAGAGTACTTAACTTGAATGTCTGATTATCTATTTTAATAATGTTTGTTCCTCAGCAATCATACACTATATATTTATTATATCACGAGATAGGGCTGGAGTGATAGCACAACAGGTAGGGAGTTTGTCTTCCACCCAGCCGACCCAGCTGACCTGGGTTTGATTCCTCTGCCACTCTCGGAGATCCTGGCATGCTACCAAGAGTATCTCGCCCGCATGGCAAAGCCTGGCAAGCTGCCCGTGACATATTCGATATGCCAAACATAGTAACAACAAATCTCATAATGGAGACGTTAATGGACCAGTTTGAGCAAATTGATGAACAATGGGAGGACAGTGCTACAGTGCTACCAAGAGATAAATCAAATAGGATCTTTATGTTTAAAATATAAATTAGAAAAGTATTTCAAGGTATGAGAACGGTTAGAGACTGCTAAGCATTTACTTTTAAGTTTATAAATCTGAACTCAGACTATTCATGAACATAATGCTCTTTAGATATCTGCTGTGCTTTAAACATATAGTTTAACCAACTACATTATTTAAACATTAAAATAAGAATGATTATAGAACTTGTTAGTGTTTAAATAAAATTTTCTTTAGGGTATTATACCAGCTTCTTATGTTAGGGCGCAGATCGTGATCTCCCTTTAACGACAAAGAGACTCCAGAGACTGCAAACAGCAAGCAAGGTTTATTGTAAGACTGGCTAGCCAGGGTCAAGCCGCCTACACAGACACGCAGGTCAGTTAGGTGAGGCAAGACCCTGAACCTCTTCAAAGGGGATCTTATATAGGCCTTCACTGGCCGTTACAGCAAAGCCCGCGCATTTCATAGCCAATAGATTTGTAACAACATATGCTTTCTTAACCAATCCAATTAAGGGTACATCACTTCCTAGCCTATAGTTTAAAGATCAGCATTTTGCGTCGGTGCTTAGGAACTGACAGGTTTTTAAGGCAGTCCTGGGTCTTGCAACATGGGTCTTATGAGAAACATCCAGTTATCTGGTCTGACCCCCACCCTTCGAGTACCTGTATCTGAATTCCTTGCTCAGGGGTAGAAAAACTAGTTATTTTGCAGTGCAGGCTCCTATAAAGCGGATCTGAAAAAGCTTATCTAGACCTGTTCCTTGAAAAACAAGTTATTTTGCAATGCAGGTTCCTATTAAGCTAAGCTAAATTAATTCTGGTGGTAGTCCATTTTGGGCCTGTCCCTTACACTTATATATAAATAATCATTTTCTTTTAGAATAGATTGATTATATAATACTTTAAATCTAGTAAGGACATACTAAACACATCTACCCAAATAAAAAGGGAAATTGTTTATTTTTATTTGACACATGAAAAACAAGTTGTCAGACAAACCTGTAAAATGATGCAAAATAAATGCAAAATAAAATAATGTCTTTAATTGAGAACACACAAATTATCAGTCTTATCGTTTCCTTTGTGAATTAGGTACAGTAACATCACCCAAGTACCATTTATCTTGACAAGAAAAAAGATCACTATAAATAACTCAACTCTAGTTTATCTTCCTTACTACTACACTTAGCTTCTTAATTTATTTCAAATTTACATGTCATTCTTACTCCCTTTGAGGTTTTCTGAATCAAAACAGATTAGAGGTCACTTTTTACAAAGAAAGAAGGACACTGATATTCTAAATAGGCCACCTGAAAAGAGCTTAAGTGGCAACTGACAATGTCTGACAAGGACGACAAAGAAATCTGAAAGTAGAGAGAATTTTAAAAGTTCTGGAGTCATATTCTTATCTATTCCTGGTATAGTCAGTCTTATCAAAATTTAAGCATTTTAAGAGATGTATAAATCACTGGTTTAAATTTGTATTTTCCTTGTTACTAACAATATTGAATATTGAAGTGTCTGCTTAAATCTCTTCTTCCATTTTCTAAAGTTGTTTTTATTGTCTTGAAAAATATGCATAAGCTGAATACAAATATTTTGTCAGATATATAATTAAAAAATATAAACTAGTTTGTATTTCATCTTTATATTTGAATTTGACACCACTGTCATTTTTTTCATTTATATCCATAATGGTGTATAATTTTCTTGTTTACAAATCAATAATCTTTGCTTCATAGAAATAGGTGGGGCTTGTTTCTTTTCTTCAGTCACTGAATAACTTGTTATTTCTTCCTTTGAAGTTTGGAAGAACTCACCAATGAACTTACCTGGAACTTAGTCTATATACATATTTGTACAATGATTTTAAAATACATATTCAACGCTAATGAATTTAGGGCTATTCAAGTTACTGGTTTGTGAGTTAGCTTTGGTAGATTTTTGATTTTCAAAGATCTTGTCAATTGCACCTAAGTTAATAAATATATTTTATAAAGTTGTCCATGATTTTTCTTATTACCCTTTATTATCACTAGAAGGTGAGTGCAACACCTCCTTTAGTCTTGGGATTGGAAACAGATGACCTCTTTGAATTTTCTGATTAGCTTGGTTGACAGATTATCAAGGTACTGACTCTACACTGGGTTCTTGCACCTTCACCTCGTAATATGACTTACCCGAATAAAATCTATATTCTTGTAGATTTCATGCTGTGCATTTCCTATCTTTTCACATCTAAACAGTCTCTGCTTTTTGCTTCCAGGTATCTTATCTTTCCTGTTTTTCAGGAAGCCGATTATTTATTCAATCACATATTGTTAAGATATAAGAAAAGCTTCATATATATGGATGAATAGAAGACAAGATGGAAATAAGGGAAAAAAAAAAGAAAAATGGTAGCGAAGTTTGACATATTTATGGGGAAACAAGTTGTTTCTTTGTACAGTACTGTAGAGTTTATAAAGAACACTATGGAAAAATTAGACTTCTGGAGTCAATTTATAGAGGCTAGAATGTCAGACTAAGGAAAATGGAAAATAAGCAATGTGGAGTCATTGAAAGGTTTTTTTAAAATATGAGTGAAAAATCATAGTTTTACTTTAGGAAGATGAACTGAAAATTTTGTTTTAGAGGAAAAGAGCCACCGATTGGTTAAAGTAAAGTAAAGGCCCTCCCGTTGATCATCGATTTGCTCGAGCGGGCCCAGTAACGTCTCCATTGGAAACTTTGTTGTTACTGTGTCTGGCATATTGAATACGTCACGGGGAGCTTGCCAGGCTCTGCCGTGTGGGCAAGATACTCTTGGTAGCTTGCTGGGCTCTCTGAGAGGGGCAGAGGAATCGAACTCAGGTCGGCCATGTTGACTGCGTGCAAGGCAAACGCCTTACCCGCTGTGCTATCGCTCCAGCCCGATTGGTTATTGTAATAGAAATAGAGAAAAGTAAATTATAACCTCAGTTTGTGGCAATAGAAATGACAGGTTCAAGTTCAAGAGATAAGAGGGAAGAAAGTACGTCTTAATTTTTAAGAAACATTCCAAAATATTATAGTTGATCACATACAACTATCTGTTATAAGCAGAATGCCAACAATCTAGGTTTAAAATACAAGTTTCTCATATGATAAAAGACTAAACTATAGATGAAAAAAAAAGTTTGAACTCATTGGAATTTGAAAAAATCCTCTTCCAACATTGCTTAGTAAGTCACTGGAGCACATCAACAATATTAGGACAGGTGATGAAGCAGCATTTCCAATCTAATTATACTGCATACATATTCATAAGCAGCCTATCTGAGTTTCTGAGCTGTGTCTACAGCATATGTGAAATATAAATGAGGTTCTTAGAGTTCAAGATAATTTGTTTCTTGCTTATCAGATAGTGCTTTTAAAAATAAAACTTAATTTTTCTTGGTGCATGTGTATATATTTGTATACATTTAATTTAACTAGTTGATATAGTCTAAATATCAAATGTTTTTATTAGTTAATATTGTGTGGAAAGTTTGATATAATTATAATTACCAAGAAAAAGAGAAGAAAAGATACAGAAAAAGACAAAATAATGAAGCCTATAAAAATTTAACAGAGTGCTTGGCCAGTAATTAAATTTTAATGTGTGTGGTTTTCTTCTTCTCATTGCTAAATATTCATGGTGACACTTGTTAAAGCATCGTATCATTGGATTAATAGATGAATGAATTGATTGATTTATGAGGCTGAAGGTTTTTAATTGTCAAGCACTGGAATAAATTCTGCTTATTGAAAGATGGAAGGGCTGTGCTTTTACTAAAGAAACAATAGTGTAGTGAGACAAACAGAAAATGGCTTGCAAAGAAAATGATGACTGCCATAATGGATCACAGAAAGACCTAAGTGTGTGGTTTACAGAGGATGCCATATCAGCAGATAATAGGTGAAACTGAAGTTAAAATTATAAAGCATATCTATAACCTAGTGATTTTTATTAAA